GCAAGGCAGTGGGTCAATAGCTGATGGTTGACCGTGTCGAACGCAGCCGACAGGTCCAACAGCAACAGCACCGCCGATCCGCCTCGATCCAGATGCCTCTGGAGATCATCCGTGAGGGCGACCAGTGCTGTCTCTGTTCCATGGCCCAGGCAAAAACCGGACTGGAAGGGATCTAAAATGGAAGCATCACCCAAAAAGCCTTGTAGCTGAACTGCCACTGCCCTATCATCTTACCCAGGTAGGGCAAGTTAGAAACCGGCCGAAATTCTTGTTCCCCTGTTAATGGTCTTTACTGCCTCAAAATTACTTGTTTAGTTAACCCCACCTTCTGCTGAGGTATCACTAAAATGAAGTTCCTTTTGGAGGCAAGGTCATTTATGGAGTGCTGCCGTTTTCTGACCATCTCCATGTCTTTAGAGTTCCTAACTCCAGTTTGGAAAATTCCTGAGGATTTGGGGGGGAAGCCTGGGGACAGCAGGTATGATGTCACAGAGTCCACCCTCCAAAGCATCCATTTTCTTTAGGGATCAGTTGTAATTCCAGGAGATCTCCAGGTCCTATCTGCAGATTGGCAACCCTATTTTACTGTTTTTCTCCCCTCAGGCTTCTCTACTGGCTGGCCTATGCCATGGGCCGTTCTTTCCGGGGCTTCGGCTTCGGCTTGACGTTCCTGCCCCTTGTCACCATGCTCCTGTTCAACCTCTACAGCATGTTTCTCGTAGATCCAGAGAATATGTTCGCCGTGGGAGACAACAGTGCAGAGACGTCACTGGAGAAGGAGAGGGAGTTAGCAGGCTCCAAGCCTAGATACTGGGGGTGAAAAGAAATTGGGAGGGAAGAGGCAGATGGGGAAGGAATGACTGTGAGATGAGGGAGACACGTAAACAGTCCTTGAGGGCTGTGTTGCCTTCAGCTCCAGGCAAAAGGCCTTGAACTTAGTCTTGGAGCATATAGAAATATTACATCAAGATGCTCACGTTCTACTGCATGAATGACTGATGGGTTAAAACAGGTGAGGTACTTCCTCCTGAGCCTTGATTTGGTAAAAGGTGTAGGCTAAGATATACCAGTAATGAGAAAAATCTCAAACGTAAGAATCTTCCTCAAGAGGTAGACTGAGAAGAAGAACAGAGTGGATTTGTATCTCGCCCTTCATTACCTGAGGGAGTCTCAGAATGGTTTACAATCTCCTTTCCCTTCCCCTCTCCACAACAGACACCCTGTGAGCAATGTTCCCTCTAAGCTGTGGAGTCCTGTGAGCAAAAATTCTACTTTGTGAGCTGCTGGCGTTTAAGTTGTGAGCAGGTAATTTGGCTACTGCATAAATTAGTTTGCTCTGAGGCCTGAGCTAAGACAAAAATGTGTGAGCCAGAGGCTAAAAAACTGTGAGCTAGCTCACACTAACTCAGCTTAGAGGGAACACTGCCTGTGAGGTAGCTGGGGCTGAGAGAGCTCTTGACTGAAACTGCCCCTTGTACGTCTTTGGAGACGGGTTTAGTATGTTTTGACCCACTCAGGAATGACTGACCCAAGGTCACACCAGCAGCTGCATGTGGAGGAGTGGGGAATCAAACCCGATTCTCCCATATTAGAGTCCCGGCTCCTAACCACTACATCAAACTGGCTCTCAGGTTGTGAGGTTGTGCCTCAAAATAGGTAAGCTCATCTGCTGTTAGTTCCAAAAATGTAGAATGTTTTGCCCAGAAATCCCTTATTTTGTAGAATTACTAACAGCAATTAGGTTGGAGGCCCTGACCTGGAGAACCCAGGCTTGCCTAATCTCAGAAGTAAAGCAGGGTCAGCCCTGGTTAGTACTTGACCATCAAGGAAACCCAGAATTGCTATGCAGAAGCAGGCAAATGGCAAAAGCACCTCTGAAATCTCTTGCCTTGAAAACCCTACGGGATTGCCATAAATTGGTTGCAACTTAATGGCAAAAACCCCAAAGAAAATGGTGGGGGAGCCACATACAAATCTGTCTTTCAAGGTGGGCCTGGTTTTCTCCCAAAGTTCCTGGTGAACTGTAGGCTAGAGCAATCAGTTCCCCTGAGAGGAAACAGGAGCTTTGGAGGGCAGACTCTATGGCACTACATCCCTGCTGAGCACTCTGCCCTCCCCAAGCAGCTAGGAATTTCCCAAGTTGCTGTTGGCAACCCTAGCAGGCAGTGCCTCTAGGTAGCATCCCTGGCTGGTCTGGAATGCTGACATGTGGTACTCCCTCACCAGCAAGGCTAAGTGTGAAAACTTAAATGGGTACAGCAGTCTAGCTTAGATCAAGCCGCGACAGATCCAGGGTGAAATAATGGTTGGACTGTGTCTCCAGGATTTTGGAAGAGGGTATTTTTCTGGCAGACGTCAGAGCCGATCGTTGTATGTGCCCAATCCAAGCTTAATTTACTAGGTTATAAAGAAGGTAGTCCCTTCTTCTAAGTTAGACCAGTTGTCGATTTAGCCCAGTGCTTTTTCTTACCAACCGGGGGGCGGGGGGGCGCACAGCTCCCTCGAGGCCTTTTCCTGTGCTACTGCTCAAGATACATAAAAGCAGGCAGACCTTGCCTTCTCACATTAAGGTTGCTCCTTATCTCACTTGCTGACTTCGAAGGATTGCTTTGATTTGATGTAGTGGCTTGCTTGAGCGGCAGGTGACCTCTGCAGAATGAGCTCAGGGAGCGAAGGATAGCCTGCAGCACCCTGCCCCCCCAAAACCAACCTGTTTTGCTGCCTAAAACAATGGGGATAAATACAGGCCTCTGCCCACAATGACATACTAGCCTTAGATGCCACCTTCGGTTGCATTCTCAACTGAGTGTCTTACTTTGTGCTACAGTTTCTTTTGAGTCTACATTTCCTGAGGGGAGTGGGGAGTTTTTCCGCAGAGGGATGGCTTCTTTTCCTCTGTTTCAGTCAGTCTGAAATGGAAGCACGTTGAAGCAGCCAGATAGCCTTGCATGCTGGCTGGGTACAGCTGTAGCCCCCGCCCCCCACCTCAAGGGCATCAGAGGAAGGGTAGCCCCCTAGACAGGCTCCTTTCTGTCCTTTCTCCAAGAGCATTTGTACTGTAATGTGTATATATATTTAAATTGTGTGCACTGCTTTGAGATTCAATTCTGGCTGAAATGAATGAAAATACAATCTAGTTCCTGATTCTTAGTCAAGTTGATGGGGAAGGGGGGGGGAACCCAGTAGCAGGCGAACACCACTCCCCTTCCTTGTGCAAGTTAAGATGCAAATGAAGGGAGGGATAAAGATATAAATAGGTATGTCTGCCTGTATATCTGGGATAGAGGATTTTTAACATAAAGGCTGTTTTGAACTGGATGGTTAAATCCCGCCCCTTAGCTCCAACATAAATAAAATATTTGAATTTAGACAGG